ACCCTTACCCTACAATTTTGACAAAATACATGCCCAGAGCAACTGACGCCCGAGCGGATATCAGAACCTCATTTCATTTTTATTTTTTCATTTCCAACAAAATATAATACATAACAACGAATACAATGTAAAATGTATACAAAACATAGTTACATTTGTAATAAACAAATCTTAATAATAATTTATACATTTTAGGAAGAAAAAAAATGAATTTTAAAATTTAACTGCATTTATATTTTGAGGAAATGGAGAGGTCCACTGAAAAGCAGAGCTTGTAAATTGTGGACCCCTCAGATAATCATGAGTGTGAAAAAAATATGGAATACATAATCAATCAAAGAAGAATAGTGGCCAACAGAGAACATTTATTAAAACACGTAATGCTTGTAAACATGAAGACGTAACAAATTACATGACGAAGAAAGAACAGAAAAAAGAAGAAGAAAAAAAAAGGGGGAAAAATATGGGCTGCGTTTGGAGGGAAGGAGAGGAGAGAAAAGGAAAATTGTAGAGATCGAGCACGAAATAGGGAGCGCTCAAAAACCTTGAGATAGCTGAAACAAAAAGAGCAAGAACATGATGGCAAGCAGTTTTTTTTTTGAGATGGGCAGAAGAAAAGAGGGAAAGAAAAAAATTGGGAAGGAGATGTTCTATCACAATAAATTTATAAATATTATAAGATTGTAATAAGGAACATTTTAACAATTTTTTTAAAGTAATTAGTGACGGGGAATTTTTCAAGTCGTTATGCAGAGTATTCCAAAATTTAGGGCCTTCAAAATGAACGTGTTCTGTGCAGAACATGTTCTCAAAAGAGGTAAGTGAAACTCATTGGATTGTCGAGTGGGGTATCTATGAACAGCATGGATTTTAAGAAACATATCATTAAACACAGAGGGCAGTATACCATTATTGTAATTAAACATAAATTGACCGAGCTGAAATAAGTACAAATCCTTAATTTTTAAGATGTTATTTTCAAAAACAGAGGATTAGTATGGGAGCGTATAGGGGCATTACAGATAATACGAATAACTCTCTTTTGCAGCAATAGAACTCTTTCCAACAATGTATGATGTGTATTGCCCCAAACTAGAAGACCGTAATTCAAATATGGCAAGATCAATGAAGAATACAGCATAAATAATGATGATTGTGGTAGGTACAATTTTAGTCTATTAATAACACCAATATTGCGCGAAATGATTTTACAAATATTATCAATGTGTGGTTTCCAAGAAAATTGATCATCGACTGTTATACCCAAGAATTTGGTAAGAGGGACATGTTTCAAAGGGGTATTGTCAAAAATAATGTCAGAGGGTAATGAATCCAAAGAATTACTAAATAGCATGTAGTTCGTTTTCTGGAGATTAAGTGAAAATTTATTTGCTTGTATCCATTGCAATATATTTAATAACTCGGCATTGATTATATCAACCAGGACGTTTGGATTTTTGTGTGAAAAAAATAAATTAGTATCATCTGCAAATAAATTAAACGACAGGGAGTTAGACAATTTACAAAAGTCATTTATATAAAGAATAAAGAGAAGCGGGCCTAGCAGACTACCTTGTGGGACACCACAACTAATATTGCATAATTCAGATGCATGCTCGTTTAAGCCTATGATCTCGGCCGTGAAACGACCGATCGCCGCGAAAATTTGCATACATGTCAAGTGAAGTGTATAGACTACTATGGTAATTTCCATTTTTTGAAAAATTTACTCATTTGCATATTTATGGTAATTTATGCAAATAAGGTCATAAAATTCACATTTTGCCCATAAATCAGACATTATTCATATTTAAGCATTCTTTTTCACTACATATATTTGTTAGACCATTTGGAATAATGATACAACACAAAAAATTGAAAAAAACAGGGTTATTCCTTATGTTATCTATTGTTTTGATAATTTCTTATGTATTTTTTTTTTTTAAACTTATGTATTTCATTGTTTTTGTTGTTTTATTTCATTTCCAACTATAATTCAACTATTTTGACCCCAAAATAAGCACCTAAACTATAAACAAGACCAAATAACCAATGATTTATCTCTTTATTTGAAAAATGAGATTTCCATATTTTTGGTACACAAATCACAAAATGAGCGATTTTCGGGCTGACATGCAAAGACAAAAGGACACGTGACTTTGTAATGGTAGGTCCGATTTTCGAAAAATTTCTTTCAAAAGATGCGCAAGACTCGAAAGAAAAAAGTCACAAAATTTCAGTGCAAGATTTTCTTGCGTTAAAAAAATTTGCGAAAAATGTCGAGGGGGGGGGGGCTTTTAAAGCCTTTTAAAGCCCCCCCCCCGGGCTAGATAGGGTTAAGTGTACATATTGCTTTCTGTTAGAGAGGTAACTCCTGAACCACTCCAAGGCCTTTCCACGTACATCATAGAGAGATAGTTTGTAAAGTAAAATTTCGTGATTGATCGTGTCGAAGGCCTTGGAGAAGTCCAGGAATATACCTACAGTGTGTGACGATGTATCAATTGCGTGGGCAACCTTCTCAACAAAAGACATTAAAGCATGGACGGTGCTGTGTTTTTCTCAGAAACCAAATTGGAAGTTTGAAAATACATCATATTTTTACAATCATTATGAAGTTATCGATCGGAAACCAGATGTGTATTTTTTCGCATATTAAATGAGCTATGAACTTTGACCTTTGACCTACGTACTCCAAAATCAAACTTAGCCTGTATTTTGATATCATGTACCTTCATATCAAATTTTATTAAAATCTGTCAATCCTTACTGAAGTTATCAATCGGAAACAAATTTGTTACGGACGCACGGAAGGACGCATGGAAGGACGCACGGCAGCGTTACTATATCCCCTCCGACTTCGTCGGCGAGGGGATAATAAATAAGCAAACACAGGCAACAACAAAAAAGTTCTCCAATGCATGAATTATTAATTGCAAACTAATTGTCTCTTGACAGAGAGGGGGCAGTTCATGTAATTTGATAGCACACACACACTGATGTTTGAGAGCAAATTAAATATTTACTCTTTATGCACTGCTCTGCATAACTTTAAATGATCAAAATTGTGAAATATTTTGTGGATAGCTAGATTATTACATCCATTAATCATACGTCTAATTTAAAAATTAAATGAAATGGATGTTATTGTTAGCATAGTATGCTTTGGCCATTAGAAGAATAACATCAATCATTGTCTGCAAATCAGACAAAATTTGAAAATGAAACAAAGTCAGAATTTTCAACTACCAATGTAGAAGCAAATCAAACATTTGATGCCCCCCCCCCTTCCTCCTCTCACCTCTGTTATTTTATGTTTACATAATTCTTTTCAATATAATGATTAGACTTTATATCAAAGAGAAATTATATAAGTGACTTTTTACATGATGAAGTGTTTTTTGTTTTCTGTTTGTTTATTTCCCAAAGCATTCTAGAGTGGCAGCAGTATATTATTTTTTCACCTTCCTCCCCCCTCCCCCAATCAAGATTATGGCAACAAATCAGATTGTATTCCAAGGGTTACCTGACACAAATTCCATTCCAATAAGGTTTGCAACCGGACCCTTTTCCCAAGCAAAGCCCTTAATGGAGGCACTCATTTCAGCACAGTGGAGGCCTGCTATACCGCTGTGAGTCAAACAATTATTAAGCCATGGACCTTGTACTCATTTATTATATTGGTTTCTATTAGCTTGCCAAAATTACACCTAAAAGGTCATTTATTTCATGAAGTGTCCATTTACATGTACAAGTAGGGAGTGGGCGTTAAATTATTACGAGATGTCTTTTTAAGTTGATACGTAAGCCTACTTCTTAGTCTTATGCCTCAGTCGCACCTTTGCGTATTTGGCTTGCATAGTGCTGCGTATTTATGGCAAGCCGTTTTAACATGTATTCCTATATCTTGATATCAAGAATTGAATTCTTGAGTTCGATTTCTTGATATCAGGAATTCATTTCTTGATATCAAGAATAGGAATAAATGCTAAAATTGCTTGCCATATAAAGTACGCAGCAATACGCAAGCCAAATACGCAAATGTGTGACTGTGGCATTAGCGATTCACAATTTGAGATATAAAGATAGATAGAAAGCAACAGAAGTTATCTACATGTATAAGTTGTGTTCTACACATTATGAACTAGTTTGGAATAATGAAACAATAACATTGAAAGTATCATTTCCAATGCTCTTTACTGTAAATGGTACAAGGACTGTCGATTGTAAAATTGCTGCTTCAGTCGATATAATGAAGGAAAAAATACCCATGATTTATAACAACAAAAAACAGCACAAAAACAGCATTGCCACTGTTCAGAACATAGACAATCTTTTGCCTAATGTCACAATATCACAGAATTTTGTTCTAGATGTTGAAAGATTTGAAGGATGACCATTCGTCAAACAGTGGCTTTCAGGATGCTGCATTAACCAAGCAACACCAGATTTTGGGCAATGCGATGAAACTGATCATCAATCCTGAAATACTGTTGAATTTATCCCTCATGACAACATATTTCAAACATGGATTCCAAGGGGAAAGGTCAATGTCAGAAGTACTACTCACCATACTTTGCTTGAATCCTCCAAAATCTTTTAATTTTGAATTCTGAGCTTTTTTCTAATGGGGGATGGGCTCAATTGAATACAATATAAATGTTTATTTCTATCAACTTTCATTACACCTAGTAGAGCTCCATTCTTGATGTACTCTGAGTATCCCAATATTCCTGTCTAGAGGCAGTCTACAACTCATAAAAATCATAGAGCAATTTGTCTGTTAAGAGCCAGAAGGATGTTAACTCTGTACAATGAGTTAACGCTCTGGCTCTCAGCAGATGAAATTGAAGATACATGTATAAATATCTTATATTTTGTCAGCAAGGAGCCAGAAGGGCATTAACTTGTTGAGCACTGAATTGTCTTAGTTGCATATGCTAAATATGCCAACCACCAGGTTCTGGTAAACAATGGGTTAAGACTTACCTTGATTATCCTATACCCTGTCTGTACTCCTGCCTTGTATGCTGCCCCATCTAAGGAAGGAAAAACAACAACAGTGTGAACAGATTTATCAGACACCTTTCATATCATTGGCCTACATTTGTACCTGTCCCCAAGGTGACAGTTTAGGACCTTTAATGTTCCAAGGACTTTGTACTCCTGCCTTGTACGCAGCATATCTCTACAGAAAACTAAACAGAGTTATCCGAACATACCCTTTTTATATCACTGGCCTACTAGTCCCCAAGGTAACAGTGTAGGACCTTTGATGTTTCAGGGAATCTATACTCCTGCCTTGTATGCCGCCCTGTCTAAGAAGACAAGAAGACGATGTGATAAAACGTACTAAAAGTATGGCGTTCATACATAATTGCACCCGTCATAGTCGAGCGGCCAAATCTGCTCCAGTTTATCGGTACTCATTAAAACCAAGGGGGAAACAGAAGTGTGGCAAATGTGGATAAACGTCTTCCTAAATGATGTAAGTACCCGGCCGGAATTAGGACTCTCAACCTTTTTTATCAAGAATCAAGTGAACGAACTAGACCATACAACCCCCTTTCATATCACTGTGTACCATTTAGTCCAACTGGTGTGCAACATGATGATATGCTACACATTAAAGCCTAATATATCTTCATCATCATAATCATAATAATAATATAAATAATATTAATCATGAAGAATCATATCCGTCACGCAGTGATGCTCATGGCGCCTTACATATTATCAGCCTGGTTATAGCCGAGCCGCCAAAGTAACTAGTGCTCGAACGTATCAGATACCCATTTACACCTGGGTGGTGAGTGGCAAATTTAGATTAAGGTCTCGTCAAAGGTATTAATGCCAGTCTAGTGACTTGTCCTCTAGACAACGGCACCTCTACCTTCAAAATACATGTATTTTGAATCAAACTACATTGGGAAGGGTCAGAAAACGCACTTCTCCCAGGTTCCATCACGGAGCCAGCATGCCCCAAATTTCATCCACCAAAACAGCTCTCGACTAGACATTATCTAACAATGCTAACCGGATGACGCAAATAGAGGATGTAAAATGAGACACTTATTCCTACATCCTGCCATCTCCTCCAATCTATATCTTCTCCTTCTGGAGGCAGATCGCTGCCCCTCGATTGGAAACTACCTTTGATATTTCTGGTGGATTTTCAAGAATATAATTGGTATTCATTGGAAGACTGCATAAGAGGAATGAAGTGATTAAAGCCAACTCCAGATGCAATCTCAGTTTGGCTCACGGCTCCAAATGTCAGAGGCAACATAGGCCTATGGAAACTACAAGCCGTTTCATTCAAAAGCAAGAAAACCTGGGAACTTTTATTTATTTATTTTTTCGTTCTCCCTCTCGGGTATCTAGATGAAAGTAAGCCTCAAGGATTATATATTAATCATAAGTGGAATCGGGCTTATACAAAAACCTGGGATTCTTTCTTCTTTTCTTTTTTTACATAAATTTTCTAATTATACTTTTCATCTCCACCCTTGAACTTTTACAAAGTTTAATGCATTAAATTGTGGACACACCTGACAATTTTTTTTTGTATTCATTGGTGCTCCTAGTCATAGGGTGCCTTTATTGGGTCTTGCCACCTAGATATGTACATATCGTACCCCACTATCATACCCCACTATCGAACCCCACTATACGAAAGTGATTTGCGGGATGTCGCGTCTGCGCAGCTGTTTTGCGCCATTTGACCCGGGAAGCAGACAGTTTCTCGGAGGTCAACTACACACACATGCTTGTACACAACACATGGCGCGCGCTTGCCTCCGAACCGGAAATTAACCTGGGTGGTCCGATTTGTATGTGGGGTTCAAAACAGCTTTGCGTTTATCATCTCTCAGAAACGTGATTCTGGCTGTATGTCACATTCAAAACACACTTTCTTGCGTCTTTAGATATGCCCATATCTAAAGACCTTTAAACAAGGCTTTGCGTTTATCACCTTCTAAATTTGCCTTAAAGACGTTTGAGAAACCTGATTCTAGCCACAAATTTGGTCAATAAACGCACCCATAGTCAAGTGGTTTAGTTACTTGGCTGGAAATTCGAAGGTCGTGGGTTCGAGCCACGGCGCTGCACTTATGTCCTTGAACAAGGCATTTTATCTACATTGCTACTCTCCACCTAGGTATTAAATAGGTAGCAGGTAGGATGCAAACACAGTTGTGGTTGGATTAGCATATTGTTGATGTTTTTTTTTAAGGATGTAGACAGAGATTTAATGCAACCGTATGTCCCAGGCAACCGTTAGTATCAAGCCCTGTATTACTTTTTATACTATCTTTTTGGAGCCAGAAGGGCGTTAACTAATATACTTTTTTTTACTATAGAGTTAATGCCCTTCTGACTCTAAGAAAAATATGGCTGAGATGAAGCTAGACTTACGATCTTTGACACTTTGGATAAATACTGGGTTGTCGCCGGTAACCGTTAGCCCGTATCCCTTCTCATCTTTCTGTACAATCACGCATCTTTGAAGCATTTGCTGGGGACCTGGAAAAAAATGAGGAAAATCATATTAAAACAAGCAATGTTAAAGGTTCCTTATATACTTTGTAAAACAAATAAAAAGTAAAATTGGCTGAATCAGTAAAGTCTCTCTGATGCAGTGGCGGACACCTTTCCTATTTGTTCCAACAGACAAAATTTCAAGTTTTCAAAAATGTATGACCTGACCTGTAATAGTAAATTTTGAGTTGTGCCCCAAGGGTGAAGGCACTTGGAAGAAAAACAGAAACTAGTGATTTTTGTTTGTGTACACTACAAACGGGGGAGTTATTCATCATTATATACCTCACTTAAGAAATCCAGCCATCTGATTGGTCGAAATTACATTCATAAACTTTAACTATTCCTGTAAAATTCCCGGTAAAATTCCAAACCCATGTAATAGTTCCAAAAAATAGTTCTAAAATCCCAGTTACCATGGTTACCGGGAAAATAGTTCAGTCTTGGTGAAATACCCATAGGTTCACATGTTAAAAAATGGTTTGAGCGATCGAGGATACCGTACGTGTGCGAAGAATTGGTCGGTATTTTAATACAAGACAAGACAATTCCAAACAAGACAAAAATGGCTGAAGAAACTCTCCCAAGATTTCAACTTATCAAATGCAAGACTCGCTGACAGCAAGAACAACAAAAAGGGTACGTGAAATTATCCATAAACATGTTCGTTTAGTTGCTTTTGACGAGTACCAGCATAGACGTAGACGAAAATAGATCTAGTAGTCTAGGGTGTCTGATCGCGCACCGGATGTTGCGCGACCATGCAAAAAAAGTCAATTTTTTTTTCAATTTGAGATTCAAACCTTTATCTGTTGTGATCCTGAAGGTGATACTCAATAAGTGAGGTGTCATATGAAAGCGCAGGTTTTTCTCCATATTCCCCACAGGGCCGGCCCACCCCCAAAATTGTGAAAATGTCTTGCTTAGACTAGAATCTAGATCTAGTCTATACTCTCAAAGATACACTCATAAAAAACAACCGTGCAGATAAACTAGAGAAAGGCCAAGATGGTGTCATAAGTTGACTTTTTTTTTGGCATATAAAAGTATTAACGACTGCTTTGAGAGAAATAGTTGTTTTTATACGCTCAAGGGAAGGTTACAATTGTGCTATTGCCCGAGGCGTGCCGAGGGCAATAGCCCAATTGTATGTTGTATGTATTTTGTTAATACATATGCAAGGGCACTTTGCAAGGGCACATGGAAGAACAGTACTTGGGCTGAGGAAGGCCCTCCGTGCTTACATAAAATAAATGAAATGAAACCTGTGTTAACGCCATTCTGGCTCCAGACAAACAATATAAGAGCAAACTTACCACTGTACATATCAGGGTAGCTGGACATTGGGGACCAGCTGGGCGGTCTTCTCTCACTGCAAGAGAAGCTATTCAGGTCCACCAATCTGAAAAGAACAATAAATAAATAATTTTATAACAACAACAAATAGATAAGGTGAAGCTACATGATCATAGCCCTCGCCTTGTCTTAGGGGGTTCAGGTCTTGACCACAACATTGACCTTAACCAGAATCATTAATCTTAACATTCAGAAAGAAATTGTTGATGCGAAAGAAAAGTATAAAGAACAATTAGAGAGTAAATTCAGAACTCATAATCCACGTTAAGGTTGGAAGTGTATGCAAATGATGACAGGTTAAAAAAAGAAGCAGAAATCTCCACCAGTGTCAGAATCTAGATCCGTTCATGATACAGCCAATGAATTCAATACATTTTATCCAAGATTTGATGACAAATGTTTTGATGCCGAAAGTAATAGGATTGTAAATACTTTGAAACAGCTCAATGACACACCTATTATATGTCAGTACAATGATGTTGTCAGGTACTTCAAATGCACTAATCCAAGAAAATCTATGAGACTGGGCAGTATTTGTGGGAAAGTACTCAAAACATGTGCCTGGCAATTAGCCACCCCTTTTGTCACTCTTTTTCAAGAATCTTTGGACCAAAACCATGTCCCACTGTGCTGGAAATCATCGACAATAATACATGTACCAGCAGCCAAAACACCCCAAGCATGTGAACCCAATGACTATCGGCCCATATCCCTCACCTCACTGGTCATGAAATGTTTTGAACGCTTAATTCTTCAGAAGTGACATTTTCCCTCAGATACTGCCTGACATAGATCCTTTACAATTTGCCTACCAACCACGCAAGTCTGTTAATGATGCCGTTTTATTGCTAAATCACTTGGTTGCACAGCATATTGATACATTGGGTCGCTATGTTCGTACAACATTCGATTTTTCATCGGCTTCCAACACAATACAGCCCCACCTCTTGATGAAGCATACCGCTTAATGTAAAACCCTCTCTGATACTCTGGCTTCATGATTTTCTAACAGGCAGAATTCAAAGGGTAAAACTGCATAATGTCCTGTCTGATTACGTCACTACGAATACATGTTCCCCCCAGGGCTGTGTGCTGTCAGCACCATTATTTATCATGAATACAAATGATTGTATCTCGTCGAATGACAATGTCTCAATTGTTAAGTACGCTGATGACAAGGCTATCATTGGCATGATCCATGGCATAATTCCATGATGAACGTAAATATCGGGAGGAGATATTTATGTTTGAGAATTGGTGTGAAGAAAAGTTCTTGTTCTAAACTGTCTATTCCAAGACCAAGTTCCGGATTCTGGGTAAAGGTAAAATAAAATACACAAAACATATAACAATTCATGAGAATGATTGATAGGTCAACGAAAAAGATCAAATAGCCTTTAACTTAGGTTGACAATTGTTAGTTATAAGAAAGATATCCCCAATTTGCCAAACTTACCAGGTGGTAATTTTCTGTGGTTATAATCGTGGGTAAGGAAACCCCTCGTTCGTCTGCATGTACATACATACAAGCTTGTGTGTCGAGTCGTACAGGGCCTGGTGGTGGGAAGAAGGACTTTGCGTGTGACGCAAAATCAAAGCGCTAGTACTATAGTAGTAGACCTAGTAGACCTAGTAGTACAGTAACTGAGCTGTGCAGATCGGAGCGAATCATGGTGGTTTCCTGTTTCACGAAAGTGTCATTTCTGTCAACATCTTGGGCAGCTTGGATGATGCTAATCGAGAATCTATGTTAATACTAGTGATAAAATAGCTGAAAGTACGACGCAATGACTGCGACATTAACATTGCATGTGTCCACCCCGTATAATGCCACCCCCTATAACGTGCGGAGCGGGAGCCCGCTTATAATTACCTCATGGGGAATCCCCTACTGCAAAATTGTATTGCATGCGTGCGTTACCAAGCGGAAGCTAGCAGCCAAAGTTAGCAGCCACACTGATATCGATATTAACGCATACGGACACTGTGTTGAACAATAGGGACTTTTAGATTTGCGTGGACTGATACGTGTGACGTCCATTCAAGGCAGTGCATTTCGTGCAAATCTAAAAGTCCGCGCTCCGTTTGGCTGCTGACCGTAGTCTCCGCAAGGAGACACGGATAGGAGTAGTCTTTGGTCTAGTCGTTGTTTTTCTCCTTAAATTATAAGAGGTAACAATTTGTTATTTGAGTATTAAGAGGGATAAAATGAATATTTTAAACCATTTAGATCAAAACTATTAAAATTATCACAACATTAAGGGGAGAAATAAGCATAAGAAAGGTCAAAATAAGCAAAATTAAGAAATATATTATCATTCTTATTATAATCATTATAATTATGTTTATCTTTTGAATTTGAATTTAATATAATATTGGAGGGTCGACCCCCTCCCAGACACACACATACACACATATGCATACCACATACCCTATGAGTTATGCGTTATGCGCTACTTAAGCTCGGTTTTGTTCTTGACAATAGCCCACATTTACTCAAATTAGACTTGGGGGGGGGGGGGGGGTAAGGTCACCTTTTTTAGGTCAGCCATCGGTATATATATATATATATTTTTTTTTTTTTTATAATAACAAAAAAAAACCAAAGGGGGCCGGGGGGCGGGGGGGGGGGGGGGGGGGGTTAGGGGGGTTTACACACATACAAATGCCAAAGGGGGAGTTTAACCCCCAACCCCCCCCCCCCCCCCCCTGCGTACGCGCCTGAGTACTAGTGTCTAGTCGGTTGTTGTATGATGGGTCATGGGGGTCGAGTGTCAATGGATTTAACGAAATGTATGTATCAAATAACTCTAACCCTCATAATTTCATCATATAGACATTTTATACCATAAGTTTTAAAATATTTATGAAATATTGAATGTAAACTTCTTCAAAAAAACCGTTTTGAAATCAAATGTTAGCTGTCCAGATTAGCCTTAACTAAGTTACTTATGCCAGGGCTAAGTGATAATGTGAAATGTTATATCTATATAATATTTTACATTATTACTTAGTGGCTAGTCCAGATACACAGCCTGTCTCAGGCGCGGATCAACGGTGGGGGGGGGGGGGGGGGGGGGGGGGCTGAGTTTTTTTTTTTTTGTTACTAATTATTTTACAAAAGTTAGTAAGAGATCACACAACCCTCCCCCCCCCCCCCCCCCCGCTGAGCCAAAAAACAACGATCTGCGCGGGTTTCAAATTTCCGGTTCCAAAAAAAATAAACAAAAATAATGCTCACTACCCCCACCCCCCCCCCCCCAAACTGAACAAAATATTGGTCGGCGCGATTTTCACATTTTCGGGGGCAAATACCAAGAAGAAAAAAATATGCTCACAAATTTTAGGTCCCCCCCCCCCCCTTATCGGCAAATCCTAAATCCGCCACTGATATGACCTGTCCTGACACGGCATGTCTGGGTTTAGACAAAAATAACCGTCTGGTATGACAGTTGTCAACATTCCCCATAACATACACAGCCGGTAACCTATACGTATTGCACAACGGGGGGAGATTGAGCCGATTTTGTACCACTTTTTGTACATAAACTTTCTCCCCGTTTTTCCTAATTTGGATCTAGTTTTCTGATTTGTATATTTTTCTCCCTATGTACAGTTATCAAAGTTTTCATTACCTATTTCGTAAAGGCCAAATTTATACGAGTTATCCGATTTTTATATCAGAACCACTGAGACTCAGGTTAGTTGAGCCACCCCCTCTAAAATAAACCATACCTGGTGTTACCTTATGGTACAGGGAACACATGCTAAATTTTACAAAGGGATGCAGACTACGAGCTTGTGTAAATTAACAAAATTTGATTTTTGCTGTTCAAAGTGGGAATGTCTTCATATTTTCTACACCTTATAAAATTAACAGACTATCATGATAAAGTTGAAAGGAGTATCATTGTATATCATTTTAACCTTATTACTTGATTCGTGTCTAGTAAGACTTTCACTTTTCACCATGATGAATTCAAAATAGTGGGTGTGGTGTTACTTGAGCCGATGTGTTTGTATGAAATTGTGTTATTTTATCAATTTATTAATTTATTAATTTATGAATTTATTAATTTATTTCTGATATTAGTCAGGGTGACTCATTATCATCAGTAATGGTGATCTTCCATGATGCCTTGTTAAACATAATAAGAAAAAACTGTTTAAAAAAAAAATCATGAACATACCGGTAAACTCATAACAGCAACAAAGAATGAGTAATAACAATAATAATACACAATATTTATTAGGCGCTGAATACGGGTAAGAACATGTATTTGGTGTCCTTGACTCGTTGTAATAAATGAACGGTTTGTTTTGCTTTGCTTTTTGTTCAATAAAACGCTGTTGCATATTTATAATATTTTAATATAAAATTATAGTATAGACTGTAATTAGTTTTTAAATCCAATGAAAATTAACTATTAGCATATTTTGGTATGTATTAGACTTTGAAAAAAGGTAACATATACATAATTGTATTTCAACAGAATACAAATTGCAGACATTAGTTGTTGCTAGGTAGGACAAATATTATGGCTAGTTTTGCCTGACAACACAGAATGTATGCGATTCACATTCTGACTATTGAAATACAATTATTTGGCACTTAACAAAGAATTATGCATTAAATTTGATTACATATTACAAAAATGGCCTAGGGGTGTATACATGTGCTGACTCACAGTCAGCGGGCGACACTCCAGTGTCGCTGTCGTAGGCAATTGTCATTGTGACGTACATGATTGAATACAAAAAAGTAAAGCATGATCTCTTGTAAGGTAAAAACTAATCAAGACCAAGGCTTGTCCATGATTATGATCATAAATGCATAGGGCCTATTGATGCACGGACTCACATTATAGCTATATAACACCCTTCCCCTTCAAATAATGACAAGCTGTACATCATTGTATTGAAAGCTCTTGATGAGAGTAACCCAGTGTCGAAAAGATGATATAATCTTATATTGCTTTAGTAATGAGTTATGGCTTGTCAAAGATTCTCTTCGTGTCATGTATGTCGATGCGGTCACTTTCCTTCATCCAGATCAACTGCTGCAGTCATCTTATTATGCGCGCTCTCCCGGCATCAGCTCTGCATTCGGCGCAGTACATGACACAAGCATGACATGAGCATGACACGAGTAATAAAAATACCAAAATGAAATTAGTGCATGACATATAATCTGCAAATTCCACTTACAAGAAATTATTTCAAGGACAAAAGTCGTCATCAGGCTCCCTTCCCTCAGTTGACTCGATTACTTTATGGTCAATCTTACAGTGTGGTCATCTTGATCTCAAAGGATGGGAAACCTACTTCCGGGAACTTCCTGGTCCTTCAGATTCAGTTAGTGTGGACAGAGAGGTGGCTTAAAACGAAAATTCTATGGAGCACTCAAACATTAATTGGTCTTCAAAAGATAGGACTCAAGCCTCATCACATCTGAAACTAGGCCAAGCAAGCGCCCATGATAATATGTGACATTTGAGGTAAACTAAAAGCATAGTTTATGAACAAAAAGACAACCTGATAGTGTAGTAGAGTAGATGAATATCATAACATCCATATCATTCTAAAATGTTTACATTGAATTATTCCAATCAATACGCAGACTTGAACCAAACCATTATTCATAATTTTTTATCTAGTGATTTTGTTATAATTTATGTTTCAAATTAAACACATTTTCTTGTTTTCTACACCAATCTATAACAAATTCATAGCATGATCAGCTTATTTAAACAGTACAAAATCGGCCTATAGGTCAGGGTATAAATATGTTACATAGCTTGAATGTCGTTGATATCTTATTTTAGAGTATGCAAAAGCCTAAGTATATTTCATAGAATTTATTAATAAATACACATAAAATTATCTGGAGTGTTATGTACCGGGGACGGACGAATCTAATCTGATTGAAGTGTCAACAACTGAAGTATTGAAATACGGACCCGTGTGTTTATCACCAGCGAGGAATGTTTGTATCAAAGCGAAACGAAGTAATACCCAAATTTAGACATGCTTACACTTCAAATAGTTTTTCCATTGTAGTTTTATTCTAAAGAATCTATTCGACAAACATGTTTTTGAGCTTCTAAGCACCCACGCTCCTAAGGTCACAATCAGTGATCATAATTTTTTTTCTTCACTATAAAATCTACCAGCGTGAACACCATTACAAAGGATTTGAATCACGGTACGTTTCCTTTCAGAACGTTCCTTTATGTTTTATTTTTTTCTTTTACTGTTGTTACAAGCCCTGCCGTATAAAATATTGTATTCACCTACGATACTGTGATATGCAGAGTGTGCCAGTCCGTTTATCATGGTATGACTAATGGGGATCGGATATAGATTTGTGTGGTTGCCATGCAAGGTCACTCTTTGTCTCTCTCTTTCTCTCTTTGTGTTAAAAAAGTCAGGGTCTATGAGTAAAACCATATCGTTTACATACTATAAACTAAGAAGAGGAATACAAATACACTACATACACAACCAGTAACACAATGTTTTTGATTTAGAAAAGTAAATTCGTTAGGCTGCGAGCAAGGTTACTTGTAGAA